ACAATCAAACTTGCTTCCGCCACAAAATCCCGCCCCCTTGATGATCGACCAATCACATTCACTTTATTCACTCGTGTAAAGCCGTGCACCACTCAGGAGAATTCAGAAATGCAACCGTTGGAACAGCCGCTTCTCTACGACTTTAATAATCCAACGTAGAAATTCTATAGGAATAAAATCTACTCAAATTCTCATTTTTAGCCTTTCTCTTTTTTTTCTTCTTGGTTTGTCTCCAGGATTTCTGGAGGACTTTAAATATTTTTTGGGGGACTAAATATATTTTAACTTCTAACTATATTTTTGCATGCAATTTATTCATAGAAATTTTAATTTTTTCTTCCTAAACTTCCTGTGTTTGCCTTTTGGGGATTTCATTTTTCTATTAACTTTGTTTACAAGTATAGAATATACAATTGCAAACAGTCATATAATCGAGGTGCGGGATGACAAATCCACAGGATTTCAAGAAAAAAAAAAAAACGTTTACAGATTAATTGCTTCACTTAGGGTTGTAAGTTTCACAGCTTTAGAGTTGGTGCACATTTTTTAAGAGTCCAAAAAACATCTTGCATAAGCTCTAAAAAAAGTGAGGTTGTTTTTTTTTTCTTTAGCAAATTTGCAGGCATGTATGTGGAACTTCGCCAACAGAATAAAAAAGTTTAAAAGATATTCTTTCCCAGACATACTGTTATTGGAAATGCCAAAGAAAACATGTTTGACATTTAAAGGAACACGTATATTTCATTCTCGACTAAAGAAGATGTCGAAGTCACACCGAAACATTTTACTGAAAGAGCATTCCCACAATAGGTGGGTTAATGTTTCTTGTTTGACATGACAAAAAGAACAGCGAGGATCAATATTTGGAAAATATTTATTAATTTTTTAATTCAACACATGCGTATAATTTTAAGGGACACCTCCCTTACTTTATTTGAAAGAAAAAATGTTCTTTGCCACAACCATGTATGTTCCCAATCAATATCTGAATAAAGATAATTCCAAAAGAAGATTAATGCAGGTTTGCTAATAGTTTTCCTCTGGATGATTTCTCTAATTTGTTTATTTCTATTTTTAATGTTAAGAAATGGATCTGAATTACCAATAAATAACTCTGGAAATCGAGGATATTGGACATGGTCGCTACCTGAGGTTGATATAAGAAATTTCAAACCTGCTGGAATAGCGCCAAAAACAACCGCAAATGTTTAGGTGTCACAGGGAAATTATATTTATAAAGAAATTCACCATAGACTTTTGGGGATTGTCTGCATTCACTTGCTTGCTGTTGATGTGCACTTCCTCTGTTGTCCTGCAGGAGGTGCAACAAGTCAAAGCGCGGCCGCAGACAGAAGCAGCACCTGGGCCATTTCTCATCAGGGACGTCCTCCCGGATGATGTAGCCACTGTCCTTTTTTCCCTCATCATGTTTTTATATAAAAATCCAACCCGTCCAATTTTTCGTACCACACAGACAGACTGCAGTTTTATATATCAACTTCCCGGTGCCTCGGTTATTATTTCCGTCCCTTTTTTTAATGTATATGAGTTGAGATTTTTTAAAGGGGCCTTATTTGTAAGATTTCCTTTCATATTTTCTTGTTTTTTTCTGCTGATCTGAGTTAACCGTGTCTCTGTCCAGCTGCTTCACGCTCTGAACACTGTGGATCCAACAGGAAGCAGAAATGTATTTATCTGATTGTATCATTACTGCATAGTCATCATCAGGCTTCTTCTGTTTTGCCCTGTGGGACGCATGCTGACGCTGTGTAACTGGGTTGCTTTGCCTTTACCTTCAGAATCGTATTTCTAACTGTTTTTATGGCCTAAAAGAGGCAACATAGTGAAGCTAAATCTGAAATATGCTGGATGATGTGCTGGAAGCTTTTATTGCTGGATCAACGTCGCTGCCTCTGACGCTTCTTAAATGTTGTGACTCTATCAGCCGCTGTTTGCCTGTTTTTTTCCTGTGGCTAAAGTCTTTAAGGTGGAAACTGTTTCTTCAAACTTATATCATCATGTTCTTCTTATCTTAAATAGGAAAACTTTCATCCCGTCATGGATCAGGTTAGTTAGCAATGGCTAAACACAGATTTTCTTTCACTTCTGTCTGACCAATTAGGATTGGTTGCTGAACCTCACCTGCTAATCAGATAAAAAAAAGGATGCATATTGGAAATATATGTCATTGACTTTAATGAAACATAAACCTTATATTTTCAGGCCATCTTATTCAGATCCGCTCTGCTGTGTGATCTGATGATAACTGCACTGATGTAGGCCAGTATGAGATCCTCACATTATGCCCAGCTGAAGTGAAAACCAAGAATTCACCAACTAATGGAGTTTGACAAAAATACTTTATTTCTTCATGTTCTCAGTGTGACACATTGAAATGTACACCCCTCATATGTGCCGGCACAGGCGTAACTTTCTGAAGGACTGGTGGGGATAGTCCCCCCACCAATAATTTCAATACATAGACTTTGGCAATATGTGGGACACATTTCTAAATTAGTTGTTGCTGCTTTTGAAGGAGGATATTCACTGATGTAGCTGAAAGGGAAAACTCCATCATTCAATCCACATTTTCCAGGTTAGAAATTTGTCCTTATTGTTAGCGATGGAAAAGTGTGTTAGTGTCTGTAAAGCCGGGCTTACACTGTGCGATTTTTTGCCCTTTTCGGGCCGACTTTCCAGTCGTGCAAGAATTTTCCGATCGGCCCAACTTTCAGCTTGATCGTGCATCTTGTAGTGTGCCGGGGATAACAAGGGGCGATCAGCCTCTGACGACCACCTCCCGATCAGGAATTGTGAGGTCTGCAGAAAATAAAACGTTTGATTTTCAGTTGAACGTCATGGGCAAATTCAGTAGGCAAACAAGGATTCTTCTTCTTCCTCTCAAATGTAAACACAGAAGCATGGCGGGATGCGGGGGAAATGGAGTTCTTCCTGTAAAACGGACAGACCGTAGTAGCCACGTTTGCTTAAGCTAGTTGATCTGCAGTCCACAGCAACAGGTGGGGGAGGGGCTGAGATAACACATGTATTGCATATGGCAGGTCGATCAACCATTTGATCCCTGTATTCCTTCAGTCTATTTAATGCCCTGTTGGCATTAAATCTGGCCTCATTTGTTTTTATTTTAAATCCAGTTTAGAGCAAACAAGAACTGCTGAACTCTCAGGAACAGGAATAATGAATCATAATCCGATTTGGTTTAAGGGAATAAAGAATTAAAATGATTATTTCCATCTTATTAAAACTGGTCATTGGCTGCAGATTTTGTTTTTGTCCATTTTCAGTTTAAATTATTATTCTCTTCCAGAAAGTAGAATAAAAGTTTTTGGTACATATTCCACCAGTTTTCTTTTAAATTTAGAATAAAAACAACATTTGGTGAGAAACTGCTCCTGTAAATCATTTTTTCCAAAGTTTTTATTCCAAGCATGTTGTAAAGCCTTAAATCTCCAGGGGCCACTTTGCATCCGTACCCCAGGGTGGTCAGGGACCAACGGCCCCCTCTGCTGATTGTTTTCTGTGTTGCTGCGTCTCACAGGGTCAGAAATAAATAATTTTACATTTAATGCAGACTTTCAGTTCGTTGTTCTGTGTTTATGATGAGATGCACCTGAAAACCAAAATGCTGTTTTTTCTACTGCCTAAGATTTAATGAGGTACAAGCTGACCTGTACAGGTTGTTATTATTATTGATTGATTTTCAGATATTATGGCTTCATTTTCTTGAAATGGATATGGATGTTTTTGTGCTCGTGTTTGGAGGAGCCGAGGATAATTTAAAATGTTCTTTTTTAATATTCTAAACTTCAACAATGGTACGAAGTGTCAATGTTTAAATGTGTTAGAAGGAGTAGATGGATAAGCTGGCCAGAGGTTCCTTCCGGTGTCGCCGACCTGAGATCAGATGGTCTCTGGGAGGCGGCCCCTGCAGGAACTCCACCTGATTTTGCTGTAGATGTTGCGTCCTGCATGAACCAGTGAAGTTGTTAAGATTGTGATGTAGCTGAACTAGAATTAAATTATGATGTTGTAACCTCTGTGTCCTGGTTTTATTTTCTTTATCTTACTCTGCTTTAAGGAGTCTGCATTTAAAATACAAGAGCTGTCCGACTCGGGGTGGGTTGAACATACAGGTTATTTATTTAAATGTTAAGATTTTAAGCATCTTTCCAGTATAACTGTTAACATCTTAATCCTTAGATTGGATGTCTTCACAAGGTGGTCCGCGACCCCTTCGGGGTCCACGGAGGTACTGCATGGGGTCGCGAAGGTTTTGGTTGATTAGACTTTATTTTTAGATTTCCCCCCGCGATTTTTCCAATAATTGAAACGACTTTAAATACACATTAACATGAATTCAACACACTGTAGTAAACAGATAAATGGAGGCAGAATATGTCTTTAAAGGGGTGATAGAATGATTCCATAGGGTATTTGGTGCTGGTCTTTAAGGCCTCTGAATAGGGTGTAACATTGGCATATTTGCTGTTCTATGATCCCTAATACAAGCCTGGTTAAAAGTAGTGTTGCGCCGATGCCATTTTTTGGCCCCGATACCGATACCCGATACCTGGCTGTGCAGTATTG